GTTATACTGTCTTTCAGACCTGTGCCAAAATCTCTTTAAAGTGCGGGATGCTATATACGACCAGTTTGCTGTGGCTTGAGCGTTTTTACCCATTTTTTGCCAGCGTTTTGCGTTAGGAAGGCTGATGGGGTGCTTTGATGTAGTTGTTTTAATGTGGGTAATATGAATAAACGTCGTAGGTCGAGAGAGAGGCTCTCCAAGAGGACGATCTTCCAGGTGTCGTTGCTAGTCTTGGGTGTATGGACGCTACACACGATATGCAAAGCACCTAGTGGTCAAAGCCCTATAGCAATGGTGGAAGTTGGCCAGGCAGTCTCAGGATCGCTCTTTGATAGATTGATCGCGCGTCACGATGATACAAGGCAGCCCGAAGCATGCGGACTTTTGGCTGGCCATGAACGGGTTGTGAAATATAGGAGGGCACTCTTGGGGGCTCAACCTGACGTGTATTGTGGTGGCGGTGAGAGCACGTTGAAGTGTTACGTCAAGGCCAAGGGAGGGGTGGCTAGAAACTACCTGTGTGTGGGTCGCCACTTGTATACCGTCACGAAGGAGATTGGGAATCTCACTAGGTTGAGGTTCTATGGTCACTGCAGGGCATCGGAGGCTTTCAAGGGGATGAAGTTTATCGATTGTGAAGATAAAAAGAATAAACAATTAGCTGAGTTTAGAGGTGTCCCGGTGGCACAGCCGAATTGCACGCATGCGCTTGGCACGGTGATGGTGTTTCGCACGAGAGAAACTTTGGGGAGAAACCCATGGCATAGTCATGAGGAAATACTCACGTTGTTCATTACTATGGCAGCACTTGAATTGGACCCAGGTGATGTCACTATTTTGATCAACCGACCCAAGCCTGACCTGAGAAAAATTTTCCCATTGTTGGGTATATATGAGGCTGTGCTAGCCCCTGGTAAAACGGTGTACGCTGATGAGCTTGCCAGAGAGGGGGGGACAGTGTGCTTTGAAAGGGTCATTTTCCCAGTGCCCCCGGAGCAAGCATTCCACACTAAACTGCCCTTGAAAGGCTGCGAGCGATCGTCCATTCTGATGGCTTATCGAGATCACTTGATGAAGGTGTATAACGTTACGGCGAGACCAGCGTCGGCAGTCCAGCGTGTGCGTATAACTGTCATATCACGCGGGATGGGGTTTAACAGAAGAGCGATAAATGAGGGTGTGATGGTGGAGTCACTTAAAAGGCCAGGGAGGGAGGTACGCCTTGTCAAGTTCGGCGAGCTGGAGTTGCAGAAACAGTTGGAAACTGCGGCCAATACTGATATACTCCTGGGAGTGCACGGGGCTGCACTGTGGTGGTTGATAATGCTACCAGACTGTGGTCAAATCCTGGAGCTTGGCACTGGAGCTGATGGTCACTATAGAAATCTGGCAGCTTATCGCGGTGTTAGCCATACCTTTTTGAAACAGAAACTTGGCCATACGACTGTGGAATTCAAGTGGGATATTATTCAGCTTGGCGAGGCTGTTGGTGAAGCGGAGATCAAATGGCGCAAATGCATGACTTCAGCATGATGGGAACATTTTCCATGGTGAAC